GAATCTATAATTGGGGAGGGGTGAAGAATAAAATAACTCTTCCTGTGTATTCACCAAGAATATTTCTAAGATAGTACGACTTACAGTTTTTCATTTAATTATAATTTTTTCCTTTTGTCTATATAGCCTTAAGGTTACATTCCATAAAGCAAAGTTTTCATGTGCCGAGTGCTTTTATTCAGTGTAAGACGACTCTTATGTAAGATCAACGTAATTTTAGATCTATCAAAATATCTATAAGTGAAAATGTCCTGAAACATCAAAACATCTCTATTTTAGAACATCTATAGAGAAAGTGTTCATTTTTACATATATTTTGGGCTACTTCCACTTGGTTTAGAAAAATATTCTAATTCCTATGTCAGTCATAATACGAGAAATATGACTTGTATTCTACAAAGACATTTTTATTTCCAATGATGAGTGTATTTTGTGTTCATTTAAAATAATGTATTACATCATGGGTCCTGTTCTACTGGTTCAAGACAGAGACAGTGCCATCTCCTTAGTTTATTTTAGGCCTTAATGCAAATAATTCATTATTCAAATGACAGACTCCTAGCCCAGTAAACTGATTTCAATTATTACACTTTCTTGAGCCATGGAAACCCTGACTTGTTATTTTGAAATTGTCTTGAAAAAGCCAAAAGAGGTCTTAAGTAGTTATTCGCCCATGTACTTGAACCATTACTTGAAATTTTCTTGAACTGGAACTGGCCTTGAACAGAAAGTTTGGTCACAGTCAAACTCAGAGTGGCATCAAACTGAAAAATACTTATCTTTTGTGATAATTAAAGTGCCTAAAGAAAGTGAAGTAATTAAATTCCTGATTTAGGATTTAGAAGTGCTACTGTATTTATCTATTTAGATGAGGATTTAGAAGTAATTCCAGCTTACCCACTGAAGTGACATCAGCAAAGGACTGGGAATCCCAACCTTGATGAATCCCGAGCTCAGTAGGAATCGAGCAGAGCTGTGCTCTGGTAAAGAAGTTCTTCATCCATGTGACCATGGACTGAATGATCTCCCTGAGATCTTGTGGGTATTTTCAACCATTTTCAACTTAAATGATTCTATGATTCAATGATTCTAATTTGGGAGATAGGAGAATGGCGTTACAGGTGCTGTGGTTAATTTCTTTTTACCGGTACCATGCCTCTTATGGTGATGCATACACATGCATTCTACATTTACACTCACAGTCTTACATGCACTAACTATAGGAGGTTCTTGAACACCTGAAGGTGAACTTAGGGTTGCAGAGATTTACTCTGTGTGGGAAAGATCTAAAGAAAATACTTTAAAATCAGCTTCATCTTACCTGAATAAGCAGGAAAGCGTGAGAAGCTCATAATGAATTCATGAAGCATAGACATCACACATGACAATGACTCAAACGTTGCAAGGCTACCATGTGGAAGTTTCAGAGTTGCTACAGGTGTTGGTAAACTCCAAATAGACAATAAATGTCTCAGCAAATACAATGTCAGAGTTAGTTAGTACTAGCTAACATGCATACTTGTGCAGTACTTCTTCATCAGGGCTGTTTTTCTCTACAGCAGTTATTCCTGATTTTCTGGTGTAACAGCCATCATACAAATGAGTTGGGTGACAAAATAATTAGCTCTTTAAGAGTGATACACAGTATATCAAATTTCAGTCTAACTCTTTGGATCCCTAGAACACTAAATATTCTACCAGCAAGTGTTAGATGCTGAAGCAGACTTACTGCACAAACAGCAGTGAGTCTGTTGTTCCACAATGACCTAAAAGCTCTGCTTACCTACACTAATTTCCAACCAATGCTCTGCTCTATATCATAGAATCACACAGTAGATGAGGTTGAAAGGGACCTCTGGGTCTATTCTCTGCTCAAGCAAGGCGATGTAGAACAGGGTGCCCAGGACCACATCCAGATGGCTTTTGAAGATCTCCAAGGAGGAAGAAATATATAGAAATATATATATCACTCAAACCTTATAATAGAATGCACAGTTTTTAAGCCAACATTTTGACATGTGAACAGCTTTTCCTACAGATAAGGGACTCATTTTTAATTCTGCTGAAGAAGAGCCAGAACCTACTCTAAATTGACACGATGCAGCTAACTTCAGCTGCATTAAAAAGACTCACTGAAGCTATGTAAATCTTATGTATGACGATCACAGAATCACAGAATATTTAAGGCCGGAAAAGACCACTAAGATCATCTAGTCCAGCCATCAGCCCATCCTCACCATGCCCACTAACCATGTCCTTTGGTGCCACATCTGCACAGTTCTTGAACACCTCCAGGGACTGTGACTGTAGTGTTGTTGCTTATGAAACGCTTTTCTTTAAAGAGAGGGGAGGAGGGGGGAGAGACAGAGGAGCTCTGAGAGGCATTTCTTTTCTGCGCAGAAGTGAAAGTTTCCTTCCACCAAACCCAATGCCCAGTGTCTGCACATTTCTCACTGTGGCACAAATCCTGTTAATCATAGACCAAGGCCTAAAACAGACTCCACTGTCCAGAGGAATCCAGAGGAACACATGAACTTTAGCTGAGCTTTAGAACTGTTCCTGCATTTGTTTGCACAGCTGTTCCATTTGCCACCAGGATCACAACTATTTTTCTCTGAGTTATTTCAGATACGAAACACTATACAAAATCAATTCCTTTTATTTTACAGTCCCGCAAGTGAAGGTTTTATATCCATTAATTTTGTCATGAATCTGACCTACTGTGCAAACAAAAAGGCCATTTCTCATTATGAAACCAAAGTTTATTCTAAGTACTTTTGAGCATCATGATCCATAGGGTGAATCAAGAACGAACAGCAGAAGCAGATTAACAAAGTTAGGTTTAACCGAAAACAAGCTAAATTTCACACTCTGTCAACAAAGAAACAACTTGGTTATTGCATCCCATTATTTTTCATGTAGGTGAGACTGCAGAATTGTACTAATTATGTACACAATCGTGGCTGAAAAGTCTAACAAACAGGAATATACAGAGCTGGGAGAATTCATAACAAAAGAAATAAGTAAGCAGCTAAATAAATGTTCATCCAGCACCTGAATGTTCCAATCCACTGGGATCTTTCACTGCTTATCACCATATCTCAAATGTAACCTGGAATATATTAGGCCTCAAATATCTTCTTCCCTTTGGTTAATTCATTTTCACTTTTTTGGCCGTATCAAAATACGTATTTGGCAGAGTGTACAACACAAGCTTCTGTGAAAGTCTTTGTTAAGCCACATAGTATCACCATTCATTTTTCATTATGATAGCCCAAATATACAAGAGATGAGGTCTACAGTCAAGAGTGATGACTTTTATTAACCCACGCTCAAGAATCAAATGAGATCTCAAGCAGAAGAACTTGTCCATTTGTCCCAGTTCTATTAGCTGGCCTCAAAAACATATAGGAACTCCTTGAGGCTATGGCTCCACTACATACTTAGACTACTGTAGTTACAGCAACCTTATTATTACAACATGGACCAAGGGTGTATTTGGCAGGGGACAATGTCTTGTATTTCAAACATCCAGAAGTACTTTCTTTGTCCACATGTAAGATAACAATTTATTTAACAGTAAGCGCTTGAAGAGAAGTAGGCTGAACGGAAACTGGTGATTTTGCTTTTCCAGCTGACCTTGAAGCCAGCTGGAATTCATTCACTTATTGGAACTGGGTAAAATACATGGAGATATTCCATCGGCATGCAGATTACTGTTGAATTCTGAGTAAAAACTTGTACTGCATGTGGCTGCCACAGTGTATGCCAGTCCTGCTTCTCATGTTATTTTCAAGAAAAGAAGTCCTGGGGATAGCACAAACACAAGCCTTCCTCTGGCCTGAAGTCAGGACGCAGCCTGAGGTGCACATTCCTCCTGCATGGTACCCCTCGCAGCTTTTGAGTTTACACATACCTGAAAATCTCAACTAATTAAATCCGAGTCAGTGAAGGAGAGATGCTGGCTTTCATTTTCTGATGTTGTTACCTATGTTTTTATCAAATATCAAATTCCTGCAGCTTTGACCCCGAGAATCTCACCGAGCACCACTGCTGATACCTCTTCAGGACCAGGACTTGTAATAATGTGAATAAAGTTATGCAAAGAACCTCAAAAATCATGGCAAGGTAAGTTTTTAGGCATGAGCTGATAAAACCCAGAAATGTTATAAAAACGAAAATCAGTATTTAAAAAAAAAAAATTAAAATTTCTTCAGTGTATTACAAGTTATTTACTGTCCTTAATACTAAGAATAATGTAATCACTAGAAAAAGTTATTTGTCTAGCTGTGCAAGTATTCACCACTAGCAAAATTGCTTAAATGAAAAGGGAAAAAAAGATAGCTGTGTACACAAAATTAGCACGAGAATTAGCAATCAACTGTAGTTCATACACTGTCCTTAGCAGATACCATCCTCTTTATTAATAAATGATGAACTGCTTAGTGGAGTTTTTGCTTAGTGATATCACCATAATAACAAACACATGTTTTATTTATACTTCGAGTTACATCCAAAATATGCAAGCCATTCACTGACAGATTCTCTCTAACATCTAAAGACTCTTTACCCCAGATTTAAACTTTCATTGATCTAGATAAGATAGTACTCCATCAAAACTGAGGGGAATAATGCAATGACTTCAGTCGCTGTGCATGATGACTTCAGTTGCTGCACTCATCTTTGGGGATTTTCTTTCTGTGATACAACAAAGCAAAAAACTGCATTTCTTAAAGCCAGCTGCACTTTATTCGTAAGGATGGTATTTTTTCTCTGTGGGATACAGTGCTATTTGTGCAGCAGATTGTATTTTGACAGATGTAACTGTATCATAAAAAGGCCCTTAGCACTAACAGACTGGTAGCTCACGAACGCTCATGAGCTCCAGGATTTCATTAAAACCAAACAACAACAACAACAGAAGAACTCCCCTCCCAAAACAAACTAACAAAAAAATAACAATTAAAATGTTTTTGAGAGTGTAAAATGCCTCCAAACCACTTACCTCCCCCACACCAGTCTGCAGAATTCTCAGCCCAGTTGTTTTTTCAAGCTTCTCTTTGTTCATGGCTATAAGGAAAATCAAGATTGAAAGAGTTATGGGAAAGCTGAAATGTGCATAATTTCGCAGCACATGTAGTGTAACCAGCCTCTCTTCCTATCCTCCATCAATAAATTCATGACTTTTGCCATCTATGGAGTAGTTTTCCCTGCCAGTCATTCTGCTATTCAGTGTTTTGAATGCATAAATGCACCATTAATTGTTCACTTTTCTGTGAAAAAGAAAATCAAACTAATTCTTGCTCTCATGTATACAGAACATGACACATTTAATACATCCACAGTGTGTCGAGGAAGTTCTCTTTGGTAGAATCTTCCCACTGTCGTTCTTGAAGCAAGGAGCAGTGTGGCATCTTGCCACTGCAGCAGCACTGTCACCATGTATGATATTTCAGAATAAATTACAGTTTTACCTAGCAGGGAAGATAGTTTATCTCAAAACATCAGGATGCAGTGCACAATATTTTCCTTTCTAAAATTGAGATTTTTTCCTATTTATCAGTTTCTGGATCATTAAAAGCACTCAAAAATAATCAGAAATAAAACAGTAAAAAAACCCCAACAAAATATGAGTAGTAATAACTGAGACTAGGTTATACTTATAACCTAGAAATGTCCTTTGCGTGGACTTGAGCACTAGCATTGCCCAAACTAATCAAGGATGAGATCATGAGAGCTGAGGGTATAGGGTAAGGTCACCTTGTTTTGGGCAGGAAGGTGTTAACCATTCAGATGCATACTGTATCAGTTGGATTCATGGCCAAAAAACAGACACCCATCCTGTTTTATTTATTAATAGAAATGAAACCTTACAGCCTTATTAAACTCTTCTCACTTGGATGTCTAGTCATTGAATATCTAATCCAAGTGAGTCATCTAGGTTCTCTCTGCAGTCAATGGGAAGATATGAACATTTAACACTGAGTCATCCCACACAGCTTACACACATCAGGAGGCACCTCTCTCCTCTGATTACAAGGACTATTGGGATAGACTCAGCGTCTCAATTTAAGAAAGCTGAAGGAAGTACTGCTACCAGAAAGCACAAGAAGTGTGCCAGAACATACTATAAACAGTAAATTTACATAAAAATACTGAAAAGAATTCATATATTTTTCCTACATTTTGGAAAAATACAATTTAATTGCATCTGTTTGAAACATTCAGAACAATTCACATCATAGCAGACATTTCTTAGGAGCAATATTATTGTGAGATGATGCTTTCTTTAGTTTGTCCAAAGTAGAACATAAATGACTCACGTTTATTTCAGAGGTGAGTTGTATCATTAGGGCTCATTTTCACCTCATATATCCAAAATGCTGAATTATTTTTCTAAGTATTTGTATGTGCAAAGACTCAAAAAGTAAAAATGTAAGCAAATCCAATACAGAGAAATTTTTCTACCTCCAGCAAGATATTAATATTGTGCATGATGCAAATAGAGAGGAAAGCTCAGTCCATCTTTTAGACCCAGCTGTTTTGCTGATGAGAACACAGAATCCCTAGCACAAACATGTGGTTTGCTGGATCACTGCCTAAAAACACACACAATACTCACATACATACTACTTAGACCATGCTTCACACATTAACAATGTATGTGTTTATTACACTCAGTCATTGCAACTGCACAAGGATGGTTTGGCTGGATCACATGATTTGAGACTATATTATATAAGTTGTACAATATGAATTTCCAAAAAGTAAACCTTTGCAAACAAGCTTGATTTTCAGCCTTGAGATGGACTCTGGATTGTGTTGCTTTATGGATGGCAGATAATTTGCCACACTGATGTTTTCCCTTTTGGATTGTGCCCTGCTAGCGCATTGATAGAATCAAGCTCAGCACATACATTAAAGACATTTCTATCAAATGCAAAAATTTAAAAGATTAAAAGAACTGGAAACCCTATGGCCTCCTTCAAAAAAACTGCACCAAATGATTCTTTGGTAACTTGGGGCAAATACAGCTGTGCAGCAGAGTATCTGTAAAATAAATGAGGTACAAGTAAACAAAAGGCTAAATCCTACTACGTACTTTTATATTGCAAGAAAAGTTAACAGGAAATATGTGGTCTGCTGAATCACTGAATTTTGTATTCACTGCTACATATTTGACCACTCTCTTCTTTATAGACTTCCTGCAAACTTTAGTTTTTGAAGCTTTGAGATATATATCCATAAGGCATACTTAACACACCCTTCCCTCTTGATATTGGCTAAAAGAAAAAGGACAGCTCTGACAACTGTTCTAACCTAAACCTTGCCAAAATAGAGAGGCATGAAGGCATGCTGTGTTACTGATCAAATCAGAACCTAAAAAGGCTGAAGCTCAGGAACTGTCAGACCACAGAGAGAGACACAGCCAAACATCCCCAGCATCTTCACTCCCAGTGTGTAGCAGGAGCATATTTTAACTACTCTTGAACTCCACAAACAATTTAGGAAAGTCAAAAATTCAGTCAAAAACAATGGTGCCAAGCTTATAGCATCAACCACATATCAAGAAACTGCTTGAAGTTACTGAACATGATATAACTTCTTAACTCTTTCTATCTATAATTGTAGTTAAGAATGTCAATACGCTACAGTTACATGAGGAAAAAGTGGTGGGAAAATAAATTCAGTTCCTTGAAAACTGGCCAACATTTTAAAGAGTATTTTACTGTGCTACCTACTAGTTTTCACCACAGTAGAAATATTCAGCAGATAATATTTCTGATGCAGAATTTATGGACTAGAAATAATAATTTTGTGTAACGCGGTAAGTTGCACAAAGTTGATTTTTTTTCAGCCTTGGCTTAATGTCCTGAAATACTAATGGAGGACTCACAAACTTATCAGCAAAAAGCCATAATCCAATCTAGTGTCCTTCTATGATGGATTGATTACAATAGCCAAAAAGGGAAGGCCAACAGATATAATCTACCTGGAGTCCTGGAAGGCCCATGGTCCCACACCATACTGTTATTTCTATACTGGGGAGGTATAGATTTGAAGGATGGACTATATGGTGAATAAGGAACAGACTGGGAGAACTCACTGAGAGCAGCCCTGAGGAAAAGGAGTCAGGAGTTCTGGTGCATGAAAAGCTTGATGCAGGACAACAGTGTGTCCTGGAAGGCCGATTGTATCCTGGACTGCATCAGAAGAGGTGGCCAGCAGGGTGAGGTAGGTGATTGTTTTCCTCTACTCTGCCCTCGTGAGGCCCCATATGGAATACTGCATCTAAATCAGAAGCCACAGGACAAGAAAGACCTAGAGCTGTTGGAGAGGGTCCAGAGGAGGGCCATGAAGATGGTCATAGGTCTCGAAAAGATAAGGCTTTGGGGACACCTTATAGTAGCCTTCCAGTACCTAAAGAAAAGCTGGAGAGAGACTATTTAAACAGGAAGATAGTGGTAGGACCTTTTAAACTTAAAGATTATAGATTTAGGTTAGAAAAAGTTTTTAAGTACGAGGCAGTGAGGCAGTGGCATAGTTTGCCCAGAGAAGCTGTGGATGCCCCATCCCTGGAGGGGCCCAATGCAAGGTTGGATGGAGTCTGGGCAACCTGATGTAATAGGTGGCAACTCTGCCAATGGCAGAGACATTAGAAGTAGATGATCTTTAAGGTCCCTTGAATCCAAGCCATTCTATGATAGAAAAAACAGCTACTCAAAAAAAAAGAAAAAAGAAGAAGAAAAAAAAAACCCCTCTCAAATAAATAAACAAATAAAACCAATTCCATTTGCAATGTACAAATCCCATTTTTTAATCTCCCACTGAAACAAAAAGAGCCTCCAAACACACAAAAAGGAGGCTTTTAAATTAAATTCACTAGATGAAGGATATGCAAATTACCTGGAGAAGCAGAGCCCTATAATGTTCTCAAAATTCTGCAATAGCCTATTTAATTAGTATTTTAATTTATCAGAATAATTCTTTGCACTTGACAATTTATGCAGTATCCCATATAATTAAGCACGTAGCTACAGTGGAATAATTTTGCCTTCTCTCTGTATACCAGTTATTTTAACCTGAAAGAATCTGTGGAAGTCTCTTCTGTGATCTAAATTACAATGGGGACAACTTAATGGCTTTGCTCTATTAGGGAGCACGATGAGGGTGTTACTGAGTGTGTCAGGGTAGCGACTGTCACTATTCTTAGTCTTCACCAACCAGAGGGAAGTCTGACGTGTTTTCCAAGGGCTAACATTTATTTCCTTCAGCAAAGTTATCTGCCGGTGGCATAGTCAGGAATTTGACTGCTTAGTTTTGCAGTCGGCAGGTTTGACCTCAGCTCACTGGTTATTAGGAGAAACAAGTTACAGGTAGAACTTCAGTCTCATTGTAACCCTTCTGGAAGAAGGAAGCCCTGAGAAACAAGTGGTTCACAAAGGTTTGATGTAAAGGAGGTTGCCAAACATAACCATGCCCTCCAAAATACTCATGGGAGCACATGTACACTGGTACAAGTGCTGCAGGATTTACCCCCTCCATGGAAGTAATTACTCTAAATATGGAAAGTATTTGTCAGAAGATGGTATCACTCACAAGGAAACCTTATTTTTCTGCTATGTATCTGACTTTGAGGGTGTGTTTTATCTAATTAAACACAGAAGACAACAGTATTTACAGCCATATGATTCCCCTGACCTCTATTACATGCCCATTTCAGAATGAGTCAATTCATGCCCTGGACTCACTAACAATATTGACTGAACCTCCAGTCAATAAAACGATGGAAGGCAATTAATTCAGATTTACTGTCCAATGAATTCTACACCAATGATTCTCTTCACAATTGTTTGTTGCAAAGCCCCTTTCACAAAGATAAATTCAGAAGAATTTCATCTATTTTCCTGTCTTTGAGGAAAGTAAGTAAAGAAGGGAGATCCAGAGAAATGGTATTTATTATGCTTTTAATTTTTTAACAGATTTCACAAATCTAACACAAGCAAACATTGCATTTATTTCTATCAAATGCTTTGGATTGTATGGAAAGTTTCTTTATAGGATGAACC